AAAAAAAAAAAAATTTGTGTTTAAGTGTTATAAAATGCATAATTTTTAGAAAAAAAAAATATGATGTAAGAAAAAGAGGAAATTACTGTTTTACTAATCCTATTACTTCTGGAGAAAAAAACTAATTTCTTTTCCTATAAAACTATATCTCTCAGTCCTCACAACAAACCCAAACTTGAAGAAGAATTAATCCCGACAATGTCAAGTTACGCCCCTGAAGTGCCACCGGACACTAAAAGGAGGAAGAAGACAAAGGAAGTGTCGTCTCCATCATCATGTTCTGGTTTATGGTCGTTACCGGACGAGGTGGCTCTGAACTGCCTAGCTCAGGTCTCGAAATTAGACCTAGCAGCTTTAGCTATAGCCTCCAAGAGCCATGGATCTCTCGTAGCTTCCCCTGAGCTCTACCGCATGCGCTCGCTGATGGGTTACACCGATGCATATTTCTACGTATGCTTGCACATCTTTCCTAAACCAAACCCGCAGTGGTTCATCCTCAACCCGATGCAACGTCGGCTTAAACCGATCCCTTCGAACCCTAAACAAGCCCTAGAATCATCTTCTTTTGTCGTGGTTGATTGTGGGATCTATGTAATCGGTGGAACCAAAAACGGGAAACCTACTTGTGATGTTTGGTTTCTCGATTGTTTCTCTCACACGTGGCGTGCAAGCCCAGTCCATGAAGATGCCTCGTGCTTCCCCATTGGCTAGCCTCATAGATGGGAAGATATACGTGTTTGGAGGAGGCTGTTCAATATACGAGGTTTTCGATCCAAATACTGAAACTTGGGGAGAGTTTTTTTTTAGTTGACACTAGTGGAAGATGATTTTCGATGCGGACATCAAACAAAGTGCGGTGATAGATGGGAAGGGGATATATTTGGTGGATGAGAAGGATCAAACCTTCATTTTCTTGCCTGATGGAAGTATATGGCCTTTGAATATAGATTCCAAGCCGGGATGTAGAAAAGATTGGTGTTTCATTGGACAAGAGGTATATTGTCGTGGTACTCAAGGAAGAATATTGTGGTGTGACCCAGTTAAGTTGGATTGGAAGGAAGTGAAAGGTTTGGAAGAGCTTCAAGAATATCTCATTGGCTGGAGAAACCGGTGCGGGTTGTCCAAGATCAAGGTCATGTATCCTATCTGCAAACTTTGTTGCAACTCTGCTGCTGGGAACATTGTCATCTTCTGGAACTCGCAGAATAAAGATGCTGAGAGTTTGGACTTTGGTCTGCCGAGATTTCTGTGGAGAGACGTAAGGGAAACGAGATTTGGGGAAAGATTGAGTGGTACGGTCCTGTCTTCTGTGTATGCATGAAATTCCAATATGATCATATCATTTGGGTAATGAATTGTGGATATAAATTGTTTTTGAGTATCTTTGTATGTGTGAGAGCCTTTTATTTATTTATTGCAATGTGTCTATTCTCAAGTTGAAACACAATGTTTTAGTCCGGTCTCTGTTAACCACGAAATCCAGTTAACGTAAATTGAAAACGACTATTACAATTTTGTGAAATCAGTAGCAAATTGATCAATCTGAAGCCAAAGAAAAGATTGATGGATTGGTGATGGCACGTACCTATCTACAAATTTTGAAGATTGAAGATATGTAGTTGAATAGATATAACCATGAACATAGAATGGAAGCTTGGTATAATCTTTATGGCTTCTTTCAGTTACCCGCCTCAAGAAAACCTTCGAGCTGCTCAAATCCAAGGAATTAGCAGAAGGTAAAGATTTAAACTTTTGGACATAGAAAAGAATAACCTTTATGGCTTCTCTGATTCTGTCTTAAACTTGTGTGTTAATGTAGAATGGTGGGAATTGTACGGATCGTATCAAAGCTTCCTTTTTCCAGGAGAAGGTTCATGCATTTGGTTTTTGGCACTAATAACGTATTGGTTAGAAAAACAAGGCTTGAATCGAACTGGTTCCATGAGTTCCGGAAATTGCAGCCCTGTTCGACACTCAATCGCTGCGACTTCTTTCAGCGACAAGAAATTACAACATCGATGAAGATGAGTGACTCAGAGGAAAGACCTTGCATTGAAGAGGTTTAACCTAAGGATCAGTTGGTACCTGCTTTTATATTTAGGGTTTTTTTGTCTTTTGTGTATAACTGTTTTTAATTTCTTAGGGCAGAAGTTGTATAAAAGAAAGCACAAAAGTTGCTAGGTAGTAGTTTTCGTTGTTTAACCCTTTGTTGATAAACCCGCTGATTAGACAAGACAGTTAAACTCTATTGCAAAATAACAACAGAGTTTTTATACAAAATAATATGCAGCTTTTAATAATATCTAAATATGTTTTGTTTTAACTTCCGTCAGATTACTTTATCATGCTACCGTCTAAAATATTACGAATACTAAAAATATCATTCAGAATATTACAAATGTTATATTTATTAAAAAATTTCATTCAAAATATTCCACCCCTGCCTCAAATGGCTACCACTAAAAGAATCAATGAAATTAATATGAATGGGAAAACAATTAAATATAAGAAAAACAACAATTGTAATTCTAAAAAATATCACAAATATTACTAGAAAATACAACTAAAAATTTGTTTTCTTTAAAAAAATACCACAAAACTAATAAAAGTAAACCTCAAATCTTAAAAACTACCCAATGATTGTTTATTTTCACTTAATGGCCAAATCGTTACTAGAAGAAATGCTAAAGCTCTATTGGTTTGTCTGGTCACATGTTCGATCCAGGGAAAGATTTCTAACGTTTTAAAGAAAAAAATAAGAACTATAGGCCAAAACATAATTTCAGTGTTTTGGGCCTAAGTTTGGATTGATAAATCATGAGTTTTAGTATGGGCAAAAGTTGTGCATGAGGGAGAATCTCTTTAATCTTCTATCTTGAAATATAGAGCCAAAGCACTCTAGCTGCTGATCTCAAGACTATAACAGTTCCTAAAGCTGTGTGTCTGAGGGAGAATCTTTTGATGAGGTAAAATAATTAACCATAGACTCTCATTCAATTTATTTGTGTCTATATAATACAATAATGACATGAGTTTTTCATGTGTTAACAGGCACGGCAGCACCCATCGAGGTCCAGACACGACGTTTTCAAAGAGTTAATGGACAACCTCGATAGGGTGACGAAAGTAGACTCACACATCAAGCCTACGGGTTTTGGCACGGTGTGTGATGGCTAACTCAAATTGATTAGTGAGTTAACTTGAATTTATAGATGAGTATATCTGCCAACATTAAGCAGTGTGTACAAGAAGAGCAAGTTAAACAAACCTGAAAGGTAGAAAACTGTCCATGCCCAAACGCTTCTATAAGAATCATATAGAAGTGGATTCTTGCATGACCCGAGTCATGATAATTTTGTAGCAGGAACACATTTTTCTCCATTACAAATGCAAAATGTTTGATGGTTAACAAGGAAAAGAAAATTCAAAATAAAATTATGTTCACATACCCAAAATGTTAACTGGGACTTGTAAACATTCCAACATAAGATACAAGAATAAGACAAAGAGACGATACAAAGTTTGAGATATTTAAATAGATTCAGAGGTTGACAGATAGAGAATACAAAAGTTTACAGCGACCTTGATGAGGAGGAGGATCGAGTGTCATAATAGCTTCCGACCACTCAATGTTTCCCCAAAACTCGCCTTTCTCCTTGCATCTCTCCAAAGAGATCTCCGCACACCGAATCTCCAAACTCTCAGGACCAAGCACATCCCAAAAGATCAACATGTTGGGACTAGAGTTGCTCAGTTTATAACCTGGAAGTGCATCGTCGAGTTCTTTCGGTAATACCAATCCCAGCGCTATGCCCTGCTTTTTCACTGACTCAAAATAATCCAACATCCCCCCACCATAATTAACCAACTTGGAGGCACGAAGAGATTTCTTCAGAGCCTCCAAGCCCATCACTCTTCTCCACTGCATCACCCTTCACGCGACTCCAATTCCCCTGCCTCACACCACAATATACTCCCACCAGGTACACCACATTCTCTATCACATACCAACCCCTTCTAAATCCAGAGATATCCTCATTCCCTTTTTCCCATTTACCTTCACTTGGTACGTAAAACAAACCTCTCCCCGACGAATTCGCAGCGAAAACCTTCTTCTCCACGACAGAGTTTTCGTACATTAAGGGAACTCATAACCATACTGATCATTAGGTGGCATTGACAAAGCCTCCCAAGTCTGAGTCTTGGGGTCGAAAACCTCTCCCCATTTTACGGAATTCCAATCCTCGCACCCTCCCAACACGTAGATCTTCCCGTCCACCACACCAGCTGCAGCATTACATCGAGCCACTCCCATGGGAGGGAGAGTGGTCCACGTGTGAGATCGACAATCCAAGAACAAGACACTCACGAGCGTCTCCCGCCAATCCTCCCACCAATGACATAGATTCCAAAACCATGAGCCACCACGGAAGATACTTCCGGTGGCTGATAAAAGTATGACCGGATTGGGACTAACCGACAAGGACGGTCTAGGGTTTTTGGGAAAAACATGAACCATCGTGGATTTGGGTCTGGAGGGATGCGTAAACATAAATACATGCAGTTTTCTTTGCAGCCTATTAGTGATCGGAAATTGTAGAACTCAGGGGGAACCAATAGAGAACGGTGCCACTTAGAGACGAGAGATAAGGAAGCGTGGTCTAACCTTGAGACACGAACCAAGCAATTAAGACCCATCTCATCTGGTAGTGAAGATAACCCACAAGGCGG